CTAGATGAGGGTCACGTCGAATACGTGAATCAACTTCAACATATCCACCCTCGAAAGGGAACATGTCAAGAAGTGGCTCCCAATTCTTGTATCTTGGTGTCAACGTGACAAAGACGTGTGGAGATCCAAAGTGGTTATCAATGACCAAGAGTTTCTCCTTGACTAGCTTTCACCGTGGAGCTGGGCCAGTGGCCAGAGAGCGACGCTTGAAGGTCAAGCAGTTGTCGGAATCCTGAGCATTGGGCATAGAACCAGCTGTGTTGAGAAAGCTGGCAGAGGTGGGTGTAGGGGTTTGAGCGAGTCCAGTAGAACAGCTCTGACGGCACACACTCTTCGTGCATCAAGCACCTCCGAACAGCCCCGAAGATCATCGACCTCGATATTTCAACACTGGTATATATATATTCGGTGGAGCACATGACTTTGTGACAAGTCCGAGGACTGCTAGCGTCCATCTCGATACGATGACAAATGCTGTCGATCGTGAAAGACTTGCCTGTACCAGGTCCGCCATCATGATGAACAAGGAATTGTTCATCAACGACGTTAGGATCGAGGAGCTTGTCGGCCAAAGGAACAACGGGGCGATAGACTCGAAGTTGATCGGCGCTGAGTATGGCAGAGGTACCGAAGTCGTGAGCGGCAATGCCTGCAGCAGTGCAGGGGTAGTTTGGGCATGAGCTGACTCGTACATGAGATGGTGGACTGATGGGAAGGCAAAACGTATGTCTTTTGTAGACTATGAGTTAGCATCCAGAACACTCGTTGAAGAAAACGTTGACGCACTTATTTGTCTCGTGACATGTTCTTTGCAGCATCCATCTTGCCTTCCTGCCAAGAAACCTTGCGCGATGTGACGTTGTATGGCACAAGAAACAACCAACCCTCTACGGTGAGGGGAGTCGGAAGCGATATATAGTGTTCGAGACTAGCTTCACTCTGTTGGAACTGTACCAGGTTGGTGGCATTCTGGTCATCGGCCTCTTTGAGGTCATCTTGAGCTTCATCTGATTCCCGTGACGATTGTCAAGGATGATTTGATGACGTAACGGACAGCTCCCAGGAAGACGGACTTGACATCGGCATCGTGCTAGGCTCTACCAAGTTGCTCCTCGAGATACATATATAACGGCTTTCTACCAAAGCAGAAGCGAGTTGACAAGAAACGCCAACAAGCTGAGAATGCTTGCGAAACAAGGACTTTTGCGTTGGGGAGACTGGAGAAGGTCAAGAAATGCCTGGCCTTCTGACTCTTCTTGATGGGCAAACCAGCATAGATCAAGGGCGGCGTCACGACAAATTCTGCAGCTGGGAACATTCGCCACATCTCGCATGAGCAACGAGGTAAGGCATTGCAAGACTCACTGACATCGTCATCTTCGTCCGCCATGGTAACGTCTTGTTCAGCTCCTTGTACATCGGCCAATTCAGCCGTCTATTACGTGGCTGACTGAGCTCCTTGGCTCTCTGCAAGTCGGGCAGGCTCGCTCTCCTCCGAGGTTTGAGGCGTGAGAAGGTTGAACTATGTTCAATGTACCCTCCGATCTCGGTATCTTGGCGAGCCAGAGCGTCGTCAAATCTTGTACCGATGTCATCAAGGTTGACTTCCAGTTGAGCATCGGGAATGCCATTCATGTTCCTGAGCTGATTCACAGATAAGTTATAGCCAATGAATCATCAAGACAGTGACGTCTCAAGCAAGGAACCACCGGAACATTCCACGAGCAGTGATTGTCTCGTTCTGTACAAAGGTGAAGGTGTTGCGGCCAAGAGGACGGACATCAGCATTAGCTTCAGGGATGGTCATAAGTTGCACAGCTGATAGGTGGTGATGTTGTTGGTCGAGTGCTTGAGAAGATCGTTGGTATTGATTATGAGATAGTATCTCGAACCTATGCGAGATCGGCTGCAGCAGAGATTGAAGAAGGCGAGCATCGGGCAAGTCTCGTATGGCTTCTGGTTGATGGACCAGAAGCAGAGAGTGACGTTGGTGTGGCGGCGATTGATGAGGTCACGCACAAACAACTTGAATGAAGCCCATTTGTTGGATAGGCCAGTAAGACTTCGAATCCAGATGAACATGTCTTCTCTGGTCGGCATGGAGGTGAAGGCCTGATGGATAGCGAGATTGTTGGCTTCATGATCAACATTCGTGCCGTAGACCATCGGCTAGTAAGATGGTCGGTCATTCATGGGATCACCTACCCGCAGCACGAAGGTCTTGGTATACCTGTTGTGATGAATATATATAAAAGTGACATCGTTGCAGTAAGAGACCTGCAAGTCCACAGATTCACACGATGCGACTTTTTGGGCTGGCAGATCTCGGGCTCATCAATCATACGAGCACCCAGCGCTCCATCGGAAGCCTGGTCATGATGCTGGGCTTACTTTTGACCAAATCTGCAGCGTCTGCAGATGCGAGCGACGCCTAAGGTTTCAAGCAAGCGGCAGAGGCGTTCGTGAAGACAAGACTGACAGGAATGCGCCCATATATATATATCATCACAGAATTGAGCCCGCTCATGTTGATGTAGCTTGAACTGAGCACTGTCAATACGTGCTCAGCCATCGCTGCAAGGCGCTGATCTCAGGGTGCATAAACAGGAATCCATTGTTGTCTAGAACTAAGAGCGGTCCCAATAGCATCAAAGATGGTGATGTTGTGACCGAAATCGTTGTGAGATGCATATTGGTACTTTCTCGCAGCAGGGGTTGCCGTCCAACCTGCAGAGGTCATCGTGACGGGCAACGAATCCGGTGAAATAGGTAGCCAGCCTTCGGTGACCGGTCTCGAGAGCCACTTCTCTGTATGTACGATGATTTCTTTAATGGCCGCAAGCTCATCAGACGTCTGGCAGTACTCTGGAGCCTTGGCATCATACTCCGCTGTAGCTAGCTTGGCATGTGTCGAGTTTTGCTGGAGCCAGTCTTTCAGACCGGGACTCTGAGGCTGGGAATGCTCGGTGTGTAGTTGAAGCCTCGTCACCAGAAGCATGCTCGACAGAGACCTCGCATTCCTTGAACTCTGTTCCATCAAACACAGGCATAGTATTCTCGTCGCCTTTCGCCTTTTCAGAAGAGGGCGAGTTGCTGAGCAGGTGGTTGAGCGGATTGCTGAGCGGAAGGGCGACGGTTATAATGAGCCCACTCCGGAGGAAATGATTAATCCAAAGGAATACCAAGTGACCTCTTCAACATATATTCCTTGCTCATCTTGGTCCTGACCGTCTGCTGAGGTATAGAAGTGAAGGCAGGAGGGTGGCTCGGGACCGATGGAAGGAATAGTTGCTAAGCTGAGGGCTCGTCACTGGAAGCATGCTCGACAGAGACTTCACGTTCCTTAGACTCGGTTCCTTCAATCTCAGGTAGACGATTTCCATCGTCTTTCGCCTTGTTGTGAGAGAGCTTGGTTTCGACCTCGAATGCCTGATTGAGCATGAGCTGGGGATCATAGTGGTTTTCGACCACACCAGGATCCAGATCGGCTGCAAAGTCTGGCATATATCAGACTATACGTCATGACAACATCAAGACTGGCAGACGTGCGTGACCTCATGACCCATCTGTTCATCACAGAAGCAACCAGGAACACTATCCTGCTGGACCCAATTTGCTCGTTGACGAGGTCAGCGGCCTCAGCGAGGTAGAAAGTAGCTTGTGTGGGGTCTCCCTAGACATCTTCTCTTCCCACCTCTAGAGGCAACTGGACCGTGATATCCCAGCCAAGCTTCAAGTGGAACTGACTGCGGTGATAGGTGACACCTTGACGCTGAGTCGAGTACTTTGTCCTAAAGATAGGAACAACACGTGAACCATCGGCTGTTGGAGCTGCCAAAGTACGACCGGTGTAGGTATCCAATGCAACAACAATGGCAAATGGAGTATCAACACCAAGAGAATCGCCTTGCTTCCAACGAATTGCCACTGACAACGCCATCACGAACGCTGATGTTGCTCATGACCATGACTCGACATCCGATGCTGAGGTACAGGGTTGAGGGAAGGTCGCCAGCTTCATCTGAAAAACCTTTGCATATCCCACTAGCATCCGTTCGTGTACTTGCTGTACTCGCTGGGACATGAAATGCGCCGCCTTGGATGTGATTGCTCATTGGATGATCTCATGTCGACTCTCGAAATCTGGTGAGTCTTTTGGGTCAATGCATTTCTCATCAAGAGCATACACATTTCGTGAGATTCGCGTTCCCTCCGCCCCGAGACTTGCTGACACCCACCCAGTACGAGGGTAATGGTCGATATGTCACTTATGCGGCCAGTCAGAAAATCATACATGGAGATGCCATCTGGCAAGCGGGTGACTGGTTGACCTTTGGAAGCATAGGCGAGGATACCAAGATTTCCAGTCAGTGGTTGAATGTCATGGTTGGCATCCCACGCAGAAGTCAAGATGCGAGAGATTTGGATGATCGATGGATGCTCACGCTTCGGCTGGAACCTCAACTGTGGCCCTGCTGCAACAACCTGTGCTTCCGTATTGTCCTTAGGGAAGCCACACGTGTAAGCACCATGCTGTCCACAAGCGCCAGTGTGGTTGTGAGTCTGATATTTCAACACCAACGCCCGACTACGCTGACAAGCTCGTCATGAGTTGGTTGTGTGTCAATTCTCAAGACTTCGCAAGGCTTTCGTGTCATTGTAGTTCTGGCGCAGCGAAGAAACTCTCAATGACAAGTTTGAGAGTCGAAGACTTCAAGCCAGCGACAACAGTCCCTGAGCGAGTTCTGAGGATGGGAGCAATGAGCTGCATCATCGGACCAGTCCTGCCCCCGCCGTCAGGTCGGGTGAAAGAGTCTCCACGGTCAAGGTTGGCAGAGCCAAGTCCTCGAGCAAATATATAGATATATATATGTGTATATAAATGTAGGCGATTTTCGTATCAGACAACTTGCCCGATAGGTCCTAGTCGTATTCATGCGAGCTAGGAGAAGAAACACAAAGAGGAAGGCAACAACACGAAGGTTGAGAAGAGGAGGGGCCTAAGGGCGAGCGACGGGGCCAACCACAAGACGCATTCTCTCATGATGCAGGCTGTTGCGGAGGTGCGCCTTGTACAGTACGACTGCACGCTCTGGATTACGTGCAGCGCTCTCTGCGGCCCAGTGGGCGCAAAGCCTGCCGGCTAACATTCCACGAGCAATATGGTCGTCGAATTCGCTGCGGAGAGGATCAACCAGAGCCCTGGCGGCTGGTGAGAGTCTGGCAAGGATGCGTACTCTCAAGACTGCCATCTCATGATTGGCAGGCGAAGACATCTCCCAGGAAAGCACGCTAAATGCCCGAATCGAGAACAGCTTGGACCATGGTGGAGAGAGGGTTGTGTCTAGTGTTGACCGAAACATCACGGGCAAGCTGGGCAGGAGGCTTGCGCTTAGACTTGGTCGTAGCAGGAGCCTCCGCCTTCTTCGAAGAGGGTTGGGCGAGAACCTCGTCATTGGGGACTGAGGAATAGGAGCCTTGCCCTTCGACTTGGAAGTGGTGGGAGCCTCTTCGACTCTCTTTCTCTTTGACCATGTTGTGCGCTTGCTCATTTGGATATCCTCTCGTGAGTGCAGCCCGACCAAGTCGAGACCCAATATATATAACGAAACAGAACGAGAAACACAACCACCCCAGCAAAAGAATGGGAAGTTCCTGAGTTGCAAGCCTAGCCTTGCCCTGTGTACCATCATTAGGTCTTGTTGTATGAGGACCAGTAGAACGAGTAGATGCTTGTCCAGTATTCTTGAGAATAGATTGAGGACCGGCAGATGAATCGAAACGAGATTGAGATGTAGTAGGAGTATCGATCTCACTTTGTTGCGTGGCTTCTTGATGAACTGCTCTGGCATGAGCACGTCTTGCCGGAACCTCTGATTCCGAAGCATGGTGAGAATGGTGTCCGAGGCGTGAAGGTTCTGCACGCGGAGGAGAAGATGACACAGGAATTTCGGGCATGATGTGTTGACCAACTTGATCCTTGTAATCATTCAATCTTTCGTGAACGATTCCTGTAAAGGGTTCCAAAGTTGGTATCCATGTCGATGATTGAGGAATTGTCGACTTGAGATGACATAAAATTGCCTCTTCGATCGCATATCCAAGTCGAGAAGGTCCTGAAAGCCGAAATATCCTCCTCCACCTCGTCCTCCTCAACTGCTCCATCCTTGCCATATATATTTTGACCTGACACGACAACCCTTGGAGTTTGGGAAGTGAGCAGGAACAGGTAAAGCAAGGAAGATAGGCTCGCTCAAGCCTGAAGGCGGAGCATCGGAGAAATGGATACCAGCTTCCTCAAGAGCCTTCTGAGAGAACAATGCAAGTGAAGACGTGGAGCAACTGTTTTCGAGCTGGGATCGGCAAAGAGCTCTGTAGCGTTGTCCTGAGTAGTCTTTTTCAGAGTGATGAGCAGAGCATGGGTGGTCTGCATTGGCGGTCTCGGACCGGGTTGGTTGCTCTTGGAAACGATAGGGTTGTCGAAGACCTTCATGAATGCATTGAAAGACTTGACTGGAACGAGGTGCGAGATATCTCTGTCGGTGTGAACGGCGCCGTTGTCACCAGAAATTCTTCAAACAGTCATGTTGGCATTGGCCGAACGGATGCTGTCTGGGAGAGCATTCAATGAGAAAGCCGGTCCTGGATCCCGGACCTCGACCCGCAGACCTTTAAGGGTCGGCGTCGGGAGAGCTCATTCATAGAGAGAGACAAAGCTGAAATCACAGAAAGATGAAAGAAAAAAAAAAGAAAGAAAAACACAGTCGCAAGAACGCAGAACAAGATCTCGCGTAGGCCATGATCAATGAGTCGAGCGATATATATACCAAACAGAACTCGCAAAATGATACCAAACCAAGCACAGTGGGCAGAGGAAGTTTGGGTAAGAAGTTGACGAGGATTGGCAAAACCCTCAAGCATAGTAGGCGGCTGATGGGCCGTATGAGCAGCAGGAGGCGATTGACGGCTTGAGGTGCAGCTTGGCGAGCACATAAGACAAGCCCACAACTGTTGTCCTTGGAGAAGTCAAGTAAGTCGGGCTTGCGATAACTGGCGGGCTGAGGAACGTTCTTGGAACCCAGACGAATGGACATCTTCTCGAAGCAGACCGAATACCGTGACACTGTCGAAGCCATGAGCGGTCCATCCAATCTGACTCATGGCGTGGCGTCGAGGGGGTGGACAGATTCTGACTTCTTGGCAGCTCTGTCAAAGGCGATGTCCAAACTACAGGAAGCAAAGAGCCTCGAAATCGGGCTCCATGCTCGGCCAGCTGTAGCTCGGTTCGCTAAGACCCCCGCAATCTTTCGTGTTCCAGAAGATGGCCTGCACATTACGAACCTGGCAACGTCGAGAACAGATGATCAGAGATTGTCTATCCTTGTTGAAGACCTCGTTCTTCCAGAGTTGGCCGCAGCTAGGTCTGTTGCACCGCTGCAAGTCGGGGGCTGGGGTGGTCATCTTTGGGAGCGGGACCAAGAGAGGTAGCGAGAAGAAGACAATGTTGTTTTGAGGAGTGCCTGAGATCGTCTTGCACCAGCCTAATGCGAAGTTGTCTCCAAGATGTCAGACAGCTGATCCATGGCATGTTCGACAGAAAGAGGAGGTACAGCACGGTCTTCGAAAGGAGCAGCGGGAGTCTCCTCGGTGAAAGCGACAGTCTGGCCTTCAGGAGAAGTTGCGGCAGAAGTGTCTTCAGCTGAGGAAGGGATCACATTGTCCAGACAGTAGGACCAGCAGAAAGGTTGTTCTTGTGAGGCAACATATCGAGCAAATCATCAACCGAATTGCTGTTGCCAGTCTTGAGTGCGTCTATGTCTTAATCGAGACATGGTTGACCTTGTTTCGTTTCCAGTACTTCTGGTTAGCGAGACGAGTTTCTTGGTCAGCTTGACTTCGTCACCGCGAGGGCGCATATGCTTGACAGGAGCGTGGAGATGAGGCTCAGGGTAATCGCTGATGCACTCCAGGTTGTCGGCGGTAGCACCTGTCGTATTGGATTCAATGAGTGCCTTGTTGGGCGAGGCCCAGTCGACAAGAAACACAAGAAAGGGTCGGATGATCTTTGTTAAGCTGTCGTCAGATCGAGACTCAAAACCGTCACGAGATTGACGAACAGTAAAGAGAGGTTCAAAAGACATCCAACCATGTCCTTGCTTTCCTCGGTCTTTTACATCGTCATCGTCTGTGGTGGCGTCGCCATATAATCTATCTTGATCCAAGCCACGGCCATCAGTCTTGTTGTCCTCGGTGACAGAGCTCATATATAGCAAAAGAAGAGCAGAAAACATGGAAAGACAAAGGAAAAAGTGAAAACAGAAAGACGGAACAAAACCAAGCTCAAACCAGCAGCTAGTGGGAGTGACACCGAGTATATATAGCCAACTCAACTCGTCCAGCAGTGGGAAACAACAGACAGAGACATGAAAGAAAAGTTACAAGAGCAACAAAGGTATATAGTAGCACCAGAGGGAGAAGAAAAAAAGCATCACGCAAAAGAGCAAGAACGAAGACGACAGAGAGGGAGGAAGAAAGGAAGGAAGGAAGGAAATAACAAACAACCACGAAAAGCTGGGAAGTCCAACACGGGACATCCATCGCACCTACCTCAGCAGCCCTTGCCACCCCCCTCACGAATCTCCACTGCAAGTTCAATCAAGAGCTTCCAGGCGACAGCAACCAGACAAAGAAATTGAGCTCCTCGCGCTGGTGGCTGGATCCTGCAGAAATAGCTCGGGCATGTCGCAGACGGCAGACTGCATGAAGCCGAGCGGCGGCGTTGAGCTACCGCCAACCTCAACCTTCGCAGAGCTTTGAGAGTGGTGATGTCCGCATTATTGCGATCTCCGGGGCCATCGGCCGCTATTCAGTGTGCTTTCTGGTCGCTACACTTCACAATCCAGAAGGCGTGGATAGTAAATTCAGTGGAAAAGGTTGGACCCGCCGGACGTGGATGTTGGTCATTGCATGCCCGCGCTCAGGTACCTCGTGAGCGGGACACTGCATCAAGCCGTCGGGAAGACAGCGCATGAGCGCTCTCACCCATGACCAATTTCCCGCATCAAAAGTCGTGCCATCATCGTCCTCACCGCTTAGCCTTCGCCCTTGAATCTGCTGGTTGAGAACAACGACAGCTTCCAGGCAGCGACGGCGGATTGTAGGCAGCAACAACGAAACAAAGAAACCCCTCACGAGCCGTTCATGGGCTGTGCCATTGCAGTCGAGAGCTCGGGCATACCGTCCACGGGCATCTGCATCAAGCCGTCGGGAAGCAAGCAGAGCTGTAACCAGTCAAATCTGCCATTGACTGCATATCGACGTCCAGCTGGGCCTGGTGTCTTCCATACAAGACTGCTCTCAAGATTCAGATTGAGTACCAGTCTGTCTAGCCCACCATGGGAAGCCAACAAGCGTTTTCAGGCAGCAGGATCAAGACGGTAAGGTCAAAGAAACTGGTTCATGTCCTCCGGGAAGCTGGATATCGCAGACAGAGCGCAGACGGAAAGATGCATGAAGCCGTCAGGGCGGATCCGTGCAGCAAAGCTGTCACGTCTGATCTCTGGGTGGCCAACGCCAACGCCTTGGAGTATTAACTCAACACTTTGAGTAAACTTAAGGGGACATCTAGATGAGGACAGATATCTGGACGAAGACAAACATCTGGATGAAGCAATCGAAGGAGTGTTGTCAAGATCGTGCGAGAAGACGAGGTGGAAGTAGCGGAAAATCAATCTTCCGGGCGCCAACATGCATGCAAGCAGGGTCTACCATCCAACACCATTTTGGGCATCTCCAAACAATGACACATCAGTACGGAATACTCACCGACCTGATACAAGGTAACATGTGCTTATGGTGTTGAGTTATTCTTTGTTTTTATCCTCGGTGTGTGCCTTCTGGAAAATTACTGTGCAAAACTGTCGCTGTGAATGTCGTTCACGCCATGGTAGAAAGAAGTATCAATCTCCATACTAGAGCTCGAGTGCATACTATTTGCACAGCTCGACATATCGCCTCCCGTTGAGACATTTCTCAATGAGGTTCTGTCTATGAGAATCGTATGCCGCATGAAAGTATTGTGCATTTCTACAGCTACACTGTGACTGTATTTAGCACATGGGGAGGCAAGTCGTGCTAGCTATCAGTCGAACGATCTCCCACAGAATGAAACTACCTCGATCTGGTCAGTCCTAATAGTTGTGGACCATCTAGTCGTAGACGACGTTCTTGATTCTGGAACCACCAGCCATGTAAGTCTCTACAGGACCTTCATCCTTCATGATAGAGACGACTTGCTTCCACTCCTCACCACCAGCTTCCTCCATCAGCTTGACATTTCCAAACATGACAAATCCCTGTCTGGCACGCGAAAGAGCAACACAAACACGATTGGCGACTTTCAGGAAGCCGACATCCCTGTGGAAGTTGTTGCGGACAAGGGACAAGATGATGATGTCGTTCTCCTCGCCTTGGTAAGAGTCAACCGTAACAACTTTGATACGCTTCTCAGTCACCGCGCCCTCTACTCTCTTCATCTCGCGGGTTAGGAGACGACGCTGACCATTGTAAAAGGTCAGAATAGTGATGTTGTGCGATTTGACACCCTTGCTGACGAGGCTCTTGACAAAGTCCAATATCAGTCTGGCCTCCTGCTCGTTGTAAGCAGACTTGAACTTGTCATGAGCCTCGTGATATTCGTGATGCCAGAATAAAGTTTTGAGATTTCCAAGTCCGGGGACTGGAGGACGATCGAGTGTAGATTCGTGGTCCTTGATCTTGTCACCGTAGATAGGCCAGAGAAGACGTCGGACTTCAGGGGGCATGCGTCTCTGCACAGCTAGCATCTTGTAGTCGACCGTGTTGCTTGCGAGACGTTCAAACAGAGAGATGTCGTAGTGTTTGAAGTTGTGAGTAGCCTTCTGAGCACGGGGACGAAGTTGTTGATGGTCTCCAACGAGAATAAGATGTTGGAGAGATGGCAGGAACATGCTCATCATGTTGGCTTCAAGACACTCGCCAGCTTCTTCGACCATGACGACACGAGACTTGAGTGCGTAGATCATGGGACGGTATTTGGCAAATCCAGTGCTGGTACAGCCGATAACTTTGGCATCGGCAAGGACTTGTAGCTTCTTGACGAATTGACCGCGGGTCCAGTCTCTCACTTCCTTGGCCCATCTGCATGCTAAGTCTCGGGCAGCCTTAATGACTTTCTGCTTGGCTTCCTTGACTAAGAACTCATAAAGGCCCAGTCGGTACTGATGTGGCACCTTGTTGAGGTCGGAGAACTTGCTGCTTGCCAAGATCTNTTTGACGTCTTTCTCTGAGAGGCGCTTAATGGATGTAGCCTTGAGGACGCTGCAATCAAGGAGAGGGATAAAAGACCCCCAAAGCTTTTCGATCTCGTCATCCTGTTTGGCCTTCTCGGCGGTGGCCTCATCAACTTCTTCCTCCTCTTCTTCGAACGCCTCAAATCCAAACTCTTGTTCAGCAGGCCAGTTGTCGGTGCTGGCTGTCAAGGATGAGTCAGAACCGAGCCATTTGATGATGGCGGGAACTCCAGGAGAGTCGTCGCTTGTCTGCCATCTAGAGTTTTTGAGAGATTCAATTTGTTGAGCCGAGAGGCGATCCTCGAACATATCTTCGTCCATGGGTCTGCAAGCTTGGCTGCTTGAATCAAAGGGCGCCAGGACTCGCTTCCAGTCATTCTCCATCCTTTTCATGTTGTTTCTGGCAAATCGAAGACCAGCTGGCTCTTTGATGGCGCGAGGATTATTTTCCTTGAGTTTCTCCATGATTTCGAAAAGTGTGTGTTGCTTGACAATTCCAGTGTCAGCCGAGCGACCACCAAGACGGATGAACGAATCCTCGAATGCGGCGACGTGACGAAGCAACTGATCGAGCGCATGGTTGGTTTGACAGGTTACAATTAGAGGTGGAACAACCTCGCCTGGCTTCGCACTCTTTCTCTGTTCTTCCATCTTGGGCAGCATGATACGAAGCGCCATAACCGACACATGTGTTTTTCCAGTACCAGGAGGACCTTGAATCAGAGCAAGCTCTCTAGTCAGAATCTGATGGAGTGCATCCATCTGCGATTCATCAAGCTTGGCAGCGTCCTTAGGCATGGCACGATTGACAACATCGTATTCATAGTCGGACACGTCATCCGTGGCAGAGCTGAGGTCCATGAATGGGTGTTTTTCGACGTATTTAGGAACGCCGACAGTGTGTTTGGCAGCCTTTCCATTGAGAAGCGAGAGGTTTGCGACTTGATTCGAAAGGTCGATGAGGTTGATAGGTGGACCACTCTCTTCAACGACGGGTGAAACGACATACTCTTGAAGAGGCGTGTTTTCCTTAGTCATGCGTTGGAGGGTAAGCATATTGTGACGCTGCGCCTCAAAGAAAGACGTCGTTTCCTCAAGAATAACGTACTCTTCAGCTGGATCAAGAATAGTCTCTTCGGGGCGTGGGAAGAAGACGTCGATCTTGGGAGGNNACCTTCTCATTATCAGCATTGCTTTATGTATCGTATACTGGATAGACTCACTCTCGTTGAGTAAATCCATTGGTCTGGCACCAACAACAGCGATGATGATGTCTTTTCGAAACTTGTCCGAAGTGGGTGATATAGCAAGCAGTGAGCCGGCCTTCAGGCGCTTCGAAGTTTGCCAATCGATCTTGACACCAGCGCGGAACGTCGAGAAGCACATTCTGATGCTCAACCCACGATTGCAGAGAATGATGCCCGTTGCAAATGCCTGATCTGGTTAGTCAATTTTCAATTGATAGCATGAAAAGCAATCACCTTNTTCATAGATGCCGATACCCGGTGATGTTTCTCTGTGCTCTAGCTCTGACAAGTGCGGCTGCTCGCGCACAATGCCAATAGCGCGGCGGAGAGCGAAGGTCGATTCCTCGCGCAGGAACTGGTACTGTGCAGCAAGATGATCACCTTCAGACGACCAGTTGCCATCGATTTGATTCTCCGTGACGCATGGGTCATCGCTGATCAGGGNGCGGTTCATCTCTTGTGTGTCCGGCACTTCAGGACAGGAGATCCAATCATCGTCAGTGTCAGTAGGGGTAGCATCACGATAGTAACCATGAATAATAGCCTCATGTGCTCGTTGATCCATGTTGAGATGACCGCACGACGGTTGTATTGGTGTCGATGGAGGTGTGCGCAGACCGGTTTCAGAAGATGCGCAAAGTGAGCTTGTTGTGATGTGCAGCACCGGCTAATTTTGGGAAGGGGCGACAGAAGGGGCAGTGACAGAAGGGGCAGTGACAGAAGACGTTGTGACTGGACTTTTCCTCGCGAGGGCGTTGTTGCCTCAGATTGAAGAACTGCAGAAACTTGAGCGAGAATTGAGCTTGGCCACTGAGAGAGCTCAAATTCGGAGCTTTCAATGTACGATCTTGACGCTTGAATCAATTTGTGACCTTTTACAGTATCATTGAGGTGGTTGCGAGGAAGGCGGAGAGAGCGCAAGAGCATAGTTGATTTGCTCCTTGCTGCCTTTGTTTGAGCCCCTGGCGGGAAGGTGCAGCACATGTCTTGAAGTGTACTTCCCGAGCACCACCATTTCTTGCTTCGGACAAATATGATTTGACTTTCTGCTTCACTTCAAGACTGACCTGATGCACTACGGTTAAGGAAGGAGTATCGATATCTGGTGGTCGAGAGATAGCTGCATTGCTGCCGATGAAGTCATTGCAAGGACCTGCAATTATCACACAGGAGATCAAGCACAGCGCAGTCGAGGCTTCAAGGAGGAATCAGACAGGTTACTGGGCTGACTGCATGCATAGCAATCGTTTAGCAAAGAAAGAGAAGATTGAAGAGGTCCGAGAGTCTCGCGATAGCCATGGATAAACTTCGGACGACCCCACAAAATGACCCTCATCGGCGCGGCCTCCGCGTCTCTCGCGATGGACATTGAATTGTGGAACAAGACAATCGCGACATGTTCTGGATATACACGGTATAGGTGCCGGCGTTATTTCTTTGCTATCTCTCTCGAGTCCCTACAGCTACGCGACAGTATCTATCTCTTTGACTGGCTTATGCGACAAGCCCCAACATATGATCGGATAGGAGTAGCGACAACAGCAGGAGTTCTTGTGCGGCATGGTGTCTTTTGAGGATGACGACCCGATAGAAGGTGCGCTTCCTGTCGCCTGCTGTAAACTACAAGAGGCTCACATGCAACAGGGTCCGGAGACGAGTCGCAAGATGAAGACGAGAACATGGACGACAATGACAACGAGAACGACGAGGGAGAAGACCAGGACCAAGAACAAGACGAGGGCGAGGGGTGATGAAGAGGGCGACGATGATGATAATGACCAGGATGATGAGGGTGACCAAGACGACGACGATGAAGGCGACGCAGACGGAGACGCCGAATCACCTTCACAATCGCGCCGCCAGAGCCGAGCCTCTCCCTCGACATCACGACCGCCGAATCCCACTGTTATGCTGACATCGCCGTCACCACGTCCTTCTGCACACCAATCCCCGAGCACCCATCTATCGTGGCCTTCAGTGCGACAAGAAGCCCTCAATGCCGTCACATACGACATCGTACCTACCATGGCAGCACCACAGAGCACATCAATAAACGCCGTGGCGGCAACGCCAGACATGCGATGGGTCTTCAGCGGTGGCACTGATGGTTACATTCGCATGTACAATTGGGTCGAGACAGCCAATGGAAAGGTGCCCTTGACAGTGGCCCAGAAACATCCNCTTGTCGACAGTGTCATGAAGGCTGGCAGTTTGACAACATACTGGGAAAATGAGGAATCATCAGTGCGAACTCCGCCTGCGCAATCTGCTGAAGAGCCGAAAGACTCGTCGCCCGTCTATTCTCTGGCTACACAACACCAAGCCACCTGGCTCTTGTCAGGCCTCGAGTCGGGTGCCATTAATCTACAAACATGTCGTCACCAAGCCGGCACAAAGATCACAACACTACGCGAACATACCTCAGCAGTTTCGGTCCTTAGTTTGGCTCAGGATGAGTACTCATTCTTATCAGGAAGTTGGGACAAGACCATCCTTGACTGGGATTTGAACATGGGCAAAGTCAAGCGCTCATTTGTTGGCAGCGGAGGCCAAATTTCAGTACTCGAGCGCCGACCTGAATCCGCGCTACCCGTCCCCCATGTCGCCGAAGACACGCAAGTCTCAAGCTCAACCTTCTCCTCGAATAATGCCGCGAAACCACTCACGAATGGTGTCTCTGTCCCAGAGGAACGAAGAGGGAGTAAGAACAGCCAGAATGGCACAGAAGATGCAGCAGGCTCGCCAGATGGATCCTTGTTCGGCGATGACAACGGCTCTCTGTTCGGCGACGACAACATCAATGCCGACAATAACAATAATAACAACGCCTTCGACGACGATGATGAATTCGCAAAAGCAATAGCCACGGGCTTGCAGCAGTCAGAAGACCAGGAAGATACAGAAATGCTCGATGCAGGAGGTCCTGTGCAACCACCGCAAGACGCCCCTCAAGACCCCACAGACACTACATCACAACCACAACCCGACGCTTCCCTCACAGACCAGCCAGATCCTCTATCAACAGGCAACCCTCATGCCGAAGAAATAACTACCAATGGCAATCATGCCAATACCACTGAAGATGAGCTGCCTCAAACCTCATCCACCACCTTCCTCGACGCTTCCATCGAAGGAACCATCCGCATTTGGGATCAACGAGTTTCGTCGCCTATTGCTGTGATTCATCCAACTACAGGCGTGCCTCCTTGGTGCATGGGCGCCTGCTGGTCAGTCGACGGTAATAGTATCTACGCTGGCAGAAGAAACGGCACAGTCGAAGAATACTCTTTACATAAAGGCTTCCAAATGGCAACCCCACAACGCACATTCAAGTTCCCAGGTGGAAGTGGTCCAGTCAGTGCGGTCAGAGCTATGCCTAATGGCCGTCACTTGATTTGGTAAGTCTGCTCTTCCTTATCTCCTTTGAATTTACTCTGAGCTAACATTGCACCNAGTGCATCTTACGATATCCTTCGTCTCTACGATCTTCGTGATGTCGAAAATGCGCGCTCGACTGTGCCTTTCCTTATCGTCCCCGGTCATCGCACTGGTGTCATTTCAGCCTTGCACATCGATCCGGCGTGTAGATTCATGATCAGTACGGCTGGTAATAGGGGCTGGGAGGGCTCAAGCACAGAGGTTCTGCTTGGCTATGAGATTGGTTGTGTTTTACCATCTTGATCTGAGCGTTGACAGGATACGAGTGAGCGATCAACGAGTGGGAAAAGTTAGCATAGGCCAAATGAATCTAATGTGTATGAGAAGAGAAGCAGGATAAACAGCATGAGCAACCAAAAGATTTGTTCAACTTTCGACAGCAGACACCGCGCATCCTGTGCGATCTAAACTTGAGGCCTTCTCACAAATCAAAGGCCATTACCACGAAACCATCAAATTGCACAATGCTTTTGGTCAGCAGTCCTCCTCTAGGAAGGAGCGAAGCTCGTCACCTACGAAAAGAAGTTCGGTTAACATCTTCCACCACCCATCATCAACACCAGTGCAAATTTGCTTCTTCCATGACCGCGTCACCACAATTTTGAATGGTCAGCAATTGAGTTTGAGGCTTTGACTGTGTTGCATGACCTTTGGCTACATGGTTTACACGATCTTCGAACATGGTTCACACCATCTCCACACTTCATGACTTGCTCCACGCGTTATTAAACCAACTGAAGTTTACTCCTTCCCTCGACAGTCACACCCGATAATCCTTTGGCCAACGTGAGTCAGAATTCTGCAAACAGCTGAAGATATGATATCTGCATGCCTGTAAACCTGTATCACTGGTGGCTTGGAGTCACCCAACCAACGACCTGGTCAAACTTGACGACCGGATCATACCACTCCTGCCATCATCTTGTCTCACCTCTCCTTTGCCAAAGTTTCCCAAGCACCGAACTTGTGTCAAGTTGACCGAATGATATTCCAGAGCTATATGCACAGTGCAGTACGCCATCGACGAAGATCGAAACTGTGCCAGATTTGAGTGGAGTCATTTCATTTGCAGGTGAGCTGATATTGACAACGATTGACTTCACAGCAATCCATGAGCTGTTGTCTTGAGTTCTTCTCAAGATATATACATGCACCTTGTCTAGCTATCCAGCTTCTTGATAAGTTTCTTCTTCAATCACAACACATACCTACAGATCCTATCTGCACGACACAACCTCTTCCAAAACATCATGAAGTCAATGTTTATCGCCGCCATGTTCACCACCTTGGTTACTGCCGCTCCTGCTCCTCCCCCTGTCGACTCGGCTCAGCCTGATACCAACCTCGCCCTCGCTACCAGTAACAAAGGCCCCTGCTACAAGCAAACCCGAAACAACTGCTTAAAGATCTGGTCGTACGTCTTCCACCAAACACTTGCTATCGCAAATTATGACCTGACTGAAGACAATTGTTATAGACCTTTACTCCTATCACCGGCCACTGCGCCGTTCGTCATTATGCATTGCCGCAATAAGGCTAAAAGAGAATGTGGTATTGAGGATGAAGATAGCGATGATGAGGATGACAAGGATGACAAGGATGACAAGGATGACAAGGATGCAGCTCTCAACTTTGCTAGCATGGTGGAGGTTGTTGGCAGTCGCTCCATTACTGAAGTTGATATTGAGAAGCTGAAGGAAGCTCTGGACATGGACATGGTTGAGTGAGTCTTCCGTTTAGTCTAGATCAACTGAAGCCATAGCGTCGAGTGTATGAGCCCTCAGCCAATGCAGACTTTTCGATTTTCGGCCAAAGGAGATGGATCTTTCTCAGCTTCCACGTTCATATCTTGGTATCTCTTTGACTTATTGATCTCACCATTTAATATCTCGCAGCAAGCCTTGCTGGATGCCAGAAGCATCCTGTCATCGAATAGTTGGAGGTGAACGCTCTTTCGGTCTTCGTGTCTGTCGCGGTCTCAAACTACGACACGGTCTGGTACCCGTGCAGTGTCTGACGATTTCCAAAGCTCATCAACTGTCTATGAGCCTTGATCTTTGCCGGAAAATATCATCTTCGACATGCATTAGATGTTTATGAACAGTCCGTTCTTGATATCCGTCTGGTGATCTCCAGGGTATGGATCACTCCTTCGCAATGTTATCCGACCTCGCCGGAATGGATCACGCCTATGGTGGGAGACGAGAACCTTTTAGGTGCTCGTGCACCATCTCTGTTGTCGTTATACAATACCAGTCTTCGTACGCAGTCCCATATTCTCGATTCTCTGCTTGAACCCTAACTCGGGAAAATCTTTGGAGCAACTTCGTGACTTTAACAGTAGTGTTTTATTGGTTTGGTTGTGTGTTCTGTTGGTTCGGTTGTGTGTTCTGTCTATAGCTCTTAAGCCTATCGAATCTGGAACGTGGTTGTCTCTTGACCACCTCATTAAGCCATCTATTCCCTCCCCGTGTGCTAAGACAGTCACAATTTTGCGACCGATCATTCTCCCCCAAAAGGTACAAGGGCTACTACAAGCTATCAAAATGCATAGTTGCGACTAGAATATACGTTTAGCCATTGAGATAACCTCATTAGGGTTCTCTCTAGGGAGACCACATTTTCACGAAAGCATTGTGCATTTCGATAGCTGCACTGTGACTGTCTTTAACACACGGGGAGGTCGTGAGTGTAACGAGATCTGCTCTAGTTTAATGCAGTATCACGAACGGTACACGTTGTCGTGGACAGGAAAGGCAAAACACAGGAGCATCCCAAGATTATCATGACCCCAGACAGGAGTGCCAATAAAACAATGAACAGAAGTATCTCAGGATTGCCAGATCGGGACTGTGACTCTTTCTCTCCTCTCTTCGTTATAATGATCTAATGTAGCTGTGCAGTGCTACAAGATATACCAGCCGTTCAGACCTATGGCAGTGACGCGAAACTTCAGTGTCACGGCCCTAGGAATTGTTTCTCCTGAGCTCTGAAAATGATTGATAGATATCTATCTGAGTCATCTTCGGATTTGAAGCTCGGGAATGGGATTGGCCAAGGTTATTCGTTTGGGTCGGCCGATTCATCCATTCCCAATCTTCGGGAAGTATGATTTGATGCCTCGGGCCATCATAGTAAGCATTACTCAGCCTCCACTCGGTGGAGGCGGGATATTCTGGCTCTGCTATCCGCATTGTTGCAAGGATGTCATCCTGCATGCTCATAAGCCAGGGATGTACCGNCTACATGTCAAGGTCAGATCAAGCTCGCCTATAACTACACCAATGCGAGCACTTACCGCCGACGTAGTCTTTGACCGTCACGAAGTCGTTCCCAGGCGAAGGACGGACCCCGAGCGTAAGGCCTGTTTTACCTAGTGGGCGGTCCTCATCGCAGCAATGGACAAGGATCTCTGTGTCTGAGAGCTCATCCCAACTCCACGTGCCATCTTCCCGCTCAGGTTCTTCTGCGAAAGGGCGTACGTCATTGTCGAGATCGCCATAGGTAACAAACTCGCACTCTTCGTACGCTGGGTCGGCATGTTCCATGTGAAAACGCTCCCATTTACGATCCCAAAAGTCCAGGTTCACGAGGGATGCTTCGAGATACGAGACTTTTGTATCCGTAATCGATTGCGAGGCGATTTCATGCCACTCTCCAGTCTCTGGATTGAATAATGGTCGCGGAGTGCCAGTGTTTCGGTGAGGCTCTGTCATGACCGAAATGGCGGACGGGAACTCGCCTCGGATTGGCCAGATCAAACGTTCGAACGCTTGCGTGAATCTTGGAGCTTTGTTGTTCTCAATTCTGCGCTCAATGAATGTTGGATAAGGAGGTCCGTCTTCATCTTGTCGTGCTTCTGCCATCGTGTCGAAAAGCTGTCGCGCCACTTGCAAGTCCTCACTAAGAACCAAGGTGGGAAACCGAAAGAGACGGGGTTAATGAGAGTATTTATGTAACACGCTGGATCATCACGTGTTGTAAGCGAGCTGCGAGGTGTGCCGACAGTGCATATAGCGTAGACTTCCTCGTCGTCAGCAGCAGCAGTCGAGTGATACTGGAGTGTCTGACGACCTGTGATGCAGATGAGTCACACTGTGGAAGGTCAGAGGTATGTATAGGAACATACCAATGCTTGCGTCCTGCTGTAGAACTTGGTTGTGAGCAAGGAAGAATCGTGGCAGCTGTGTGAGATAACGCAATCGCACAGCGCTGATCTCTCAGAGATAACCTTGCACAGCGAAGGTGACCACACTTTCGACGCTACGACACTAAACCGACGCTCGTTTGTCACCCTCCTTGGTCATCGACTATGTTTTGGTGATGTTGGACAGAGCAAAGAAGTCGGCAGATAAGCGACCGAAAATCAAAAGCCTAAGTGCCCAACACACGCTGTGGTATTCCGAACAAACCGAGGAAAGGACGTGGTGTGTGATGGGGATGATGGTAGCTCTTGATAGTATTGGCGGAGGGATAGTTGACTGGCGAGCCACGTGTTAAGAACTGGAAGGCAACAGCGCAGCGTGTGCCAAGAAACAGGCCCACAACGCGACCTCCTCTTTGGTGGGGGCCACATTCACATTGTCTTTTGTCCACTTCTCACCACTCTAGAATCTACTTAGCGTCTGAACGACTCTCATAGATCACACTTGATGCTGCTGATGTTGTGGACAATTCTTTCTGCCTACTGATGATGGTGATCTGACCGACGCCAGTTAAGCCGCTTTGTCGAGACTTAGTCCACGACCAGAGACAAAGACATGCCTAGGACCATCACGCAAAGATTTAATCATGTTTGTTCAGGTTCCGGAAGATCTAGAAGTCCAGTATCTGGATCATGGCAGAGGAGCTTTCTACATCACGCGATCTCTGTGCACGCTGCCTGGTTTCTGACCAAGTGACCTGGTTGAGAAGAGCTGTGTTTAAGCACTCAGGCACGAGACCAGACTCGGCTAAGTGAAGGGTTGCAGAGGCCTGCTCAAATCAAGATACAGCACTGTCTATGCTCTTCAGAGCCTGGACTACTTTCTAGAGTCTAACACACTGCAAGCACAAAAGCAAACAAACACAACAAGTGAGGACGGGGCACTATCCAGAACAAACACCCACGTATCGAAGCATCCCGGCTCCTTGATCCGTCCAGTTCCATTCGGACCGCGACATTGACTTGTGTCCCACCGACTTCGGACTTAGTGGTTGTCGATTCACTGTCATCATTCTGAACCATCAGCACATGATCGTGAGGACCAAGGCCATCGGATGCTCCACCTGTCGAGACGATCTCATTGGACGAAGTTGGTCAGAGTCATGGTCAGGAGGCCATGCCTGATAAAGGGTTGCCACACAATAGCCCAAGCGTGAGTGACACTAGCGAGCCACAAACTCACAGGCCTGGATCTTTGTGCGGATCAGGATCGAGTCTGCTCGTCTCCGTCCCCGCTTGCGACTGCACCCACCTCCGATTGACATGCTCACCTCTCCTACCCGAGACCATTCACGAACTTTCAGTAAGTCTGTCGAATCCTTGCGGAGATAAATTTGACCGCAAACTCTCATCACTGCCGATTTGACATCCGAAGCTGCGGCAACGGAGAACGGCATCAGAGTCTTGACAATGACTTTCTATTCAGTGAACGCTTCACAATTGAGGCGTCAGTGACCATCGATCTTGCAGTCCCATCTGCTACTAGTGTCTGGTACAGCATTCTAAGGTGCTCTCGCCGAGAGATTGTTGTTCTTGGAAGCCCGAGCAGTTCTTATGCCTGTTCGGTTTGGCTGCTGTAAGGGGATCAAGCCACATTGAATGTTCTTGACGATAGTGAATCCACAACTTGGGGAGCGTTCGGAATAGTCACTTCTGCAAGCGATGCTCATACAAGTCGTACCTTGCAAAAGTACAGTCTATGGGAAAGCGTCTCCTTCATGAACCAGCAGGTGTACTCTGTATTTCAGTTGCCTTGAACAATTGCTTATTAACAAGGATGCCGTGTATCTGGTCTATTATACAGGACCGCCCTCACAACTCTGCATGCATCTCATCAATGTCCTTGCTTCAACTGGGCGGCAATGACCTCCTTGACCTTTGCAACCGGTAGCTGATCCAGAGTCTTTCCAGTCCAATACATTGACTGCTCCAAGCCTTGGTAAATCATAGCCTCTGTTCCCAAAATGACGTTCCAGCCAGCATTTTGCGAGATCTCGGCGATATGAGTCCAAGTCTTCGGGTGATAACACATCTCCAGGATGGCACCCTTGTGTGGCTTGCCCAAAAACACTTCCATGACGTTGCGAGCGGTCTGCTCGGCTTCAGTAACAGGAGGGAAGTCGGGCACACATGAGACTATGGCGCCAGGTCCTTCAAGCTCATGTGCTTGCTCAACAGTCGCAGCATGCATGACGCCATCACCATAGCCCTGTTCTGAACACCATGATACCACAGCATCAACCTCCGCCTTGTCACGGTTGACGATGTACACTTTGCTGCACTTCATGAATTTCTTGAGTGCATAGACGGCACTACGGGCAGCACCGCCACCTCCAACGACCATACCAGGTCTGCCATGGAACACTTCGTCCGGACTCGGGATGTTTTGGTAGAAAGCTTCCCGAATACCAATAACGTCTGTGTTTGTGCCGACGAGGATGGTTCTGTCGCCATGCTTGCGCAGATATAATGTGTTGACAGCGCCGACTTCACGGCCTTCTTGTGTGAGTTCGTCAACGTGCTTCATAATGGCCACTTTGTGGGGCATGGTAACGGAGGCACCTTTATTATTGCATACAAGTCAGATCGTCGTCTTCATTCGGTGCATTTGAGCAGATTGCTATGCTTTTCCACGGATATCAAGAAACGCACCAAAGAATTTGACCTCGCGAACCAACGAAAGGAACATGGACATATCGGTCGATGGCAAGAAGAACTGCTCCCAGTTGTAGCCAATCTCGCCGAAGATGGTCTTGTGCATCAAAGGCGACATTGAGTGGTTGATGGGCCATCCGAAAAGATAACCACAGCGTTCGACATGGTCGTGAGCAGGAGTCTCACATGAGATGATACGTTGGTTATCCATGTTTTTGACTTCGTTCCTGGAGAGATCGAAAGATACGGCTTGCTCAGAAAATCTTCAAGAGGGAATCTCAAGCTATTGGAAGATGTGCCAGTCGTTAACCTCAATTTGGTCAGCAATCTACCCCGCGAGCTTCAGAAGACGGTAAGCAATGTCGGGTCCTGGAATAGGAGGACTTGTGGGTTGAGAAAGTGGTTCGTCGTGTTCACGGACGTCGTTCTTGGCTACGATCATGGGAAGTTGCGGTGCTCAACGTCACACTTTATCCCCAGTCCGTACCCGCAAGCTTCGGCTTCGAGTAACGACACCCACGCACAGTATATTCTCGATAAGATCAAACTTCGTCAATGCGACACCTACTAACAAGAAAGGTTCCAACAGCCTTGCCAGTACTCACGCTGCTGCTCCAGATTGGTGGTTTCCCAAGCAAAATCTACTCAATCAACAGATTTGTTATGGTCCAGCATGCATCTATATTGGCATACGGGAAGGGTGTGCATACCACTGGCCGCAAAACTCATCGGATAAGACCTTTGCCGCACGATCCTGCCGTGCTCGGCCCTGCCGAGACCGGCGCACATGGCAAAAAAAGCGTCTCCGCATCTGCACACACTTTCGAGTCAAAATACAGCCACCCCGCTTGGCATAACTTTGGGGAACATGGATGTCCGGGCCCTGGAAACGGCGTGGGGCCTGGAGAAAAATTGATCGATCTTTTCCAGCTGGTCAGCAAGACCTCTGTTTGGATCGCGTACCTTCCACAGTCCCCTCGTCTCGCTTCGTTGCACGTTGGTTCTCTGCATTGAACCTACCCCGCGGAGTCCCCCAGGTCGCCCACTAGCCCTAGACCTTCTATATATTAGGCCGTCTACTTCCCCAACTTCTTCCCTCTTTCTTCTCTCCGTTACGACCTTCCTTCTCTATCCGTCTCACCCGTTTGCAGAGTCTCATCATGGGTCTCCTCACTCTCGTTGAAGACAGGCCTACGCCCAAGGAGGTCTACAACTGGCGAGTCTATGCCTGCGCTGCTGTAGCCTCGTTCGCTTCCTGCATGATTGGTTATGACTCAGCCTTCATTGGAACCACTCTGGCACTTCCCTCTTTCTCGAAAGAGTTTGGCTGGGGCAAATTGCCCAAAGATGAAGTCACATTCATCAAGGAGAACATCGTCTCCGTCTACCAAGCTGGTGCCTTCTTTGGAGCTTTGGGCGCATATATTAGCGCTCACTATCTCGGTCGTCAAAAATCTCTCTGGGTCTATGTCGTGGTTTTCATGGTTGGTGCCGGTATCATGCTTAAGGCCGCCAATGGTGATCTCGCCCCAATCTATGCTGGTCGAGTCCTCACGGGTCTCGGCGTGGGAGGTGCTTCTATGGTTGTCCCCATCTACATCTCTGAGATTGCTCCTCCCGCCGTCAGAGGTCGCTTGGTCGGTATCTACGAACTGGGATGGCAGATCGGTGGTCTCGTCGGTTTCTGGATCAATGTGAGCAAACTCAAGGTGGACTCATCAAACATTGCTGACTGCTGTCAANNGTACGGAATCTCCGAAACACTCCCTAGCAACCACAAGCAGTGGATCATTCCCTTTGCCGTTCAGCTCATTCCTGGTGGCTTGCTTGCTCTCGGTGCAATCTGGCTTAGAGAGTCCCCTCGTTGGTTGTTCTCCAAGGGCAAGAGAGAGCAGGGCCTCAAGAACCTGCTATGGATCAGAAACCTTCCTGCCGATAACTTCTACATTGTCGAGGAAATTTCGTTCATTGAGGCTGCTCTCGAGCATCAAAAATCGTCTGTTGGTCTTGGATTCTTTGACCCTTTCAAGGCCGTTTTCAAGAGCCGTAGCCTCCAATGGCGTGTCTTCCTTGGTACCACACTTTTCATCTTCCAAAATGGATCTGGCATCAACGCAATCAACTACTACTCGCCAACAGTCTTCAAGTCTCTGGGCATCGTTGGCGGCAACACCTCTTTCNNCCTCACCACTGGCTTATTCGGTGTGGTGAAGACTGTCTTCACCTTGATCTGGCTGTTCTTCCTGATTGACAAGTTTGGACGCCGTAACTTGCTCCTCGTTGGAGCCGTTGGTGGTGCTTCGTGCATGCTAATTCTTGGCGGATATCTCGCTAGTCCGCTTGTTGACACCTCAGCAGCAGCAACAGCTGTCGCAAAGCCGCTTACTTCTGGAGGCATCGCCGCCGTCTTCTTCTTCTATTTGTGGACTGCCTTCTATACTCCATCATGGAATGGTACCCCCTGGGTCATCAACTCGGAGATGTACGAGCAGAATATCCGTTCTTTGGGCCAGGCTATGGCTGCTGCCAGCAACTGGTTCTGGGTGAGTTTTTTCGAATCCATATTTGACATACAGCGTCGTGCTAACTGTAAGGCANNGAACTTCATCATTGCCAGATTTACTGGTCAGATGTTTGCAAACATGGGCAAGTCAGGATGTGGTGTCTACTTCTTCTTTGCTGGCATGATGTTGCTTTCTGTTGTCTTTGTGTGGTTCCTGATCCCCGAAACCAAGTCCGTTCCTCTTGAGTCGATGAACAGATTATTCGAAATCAGACCCTGCAGCAAGGCCAACGGCATCGTCATGCTCGAAGTCCAGGAAGCCGAGGCCGAGTTCCGCGAGGACGCCGAAGGTGCTGGCCTGAGTCTCGAGAAGAGCAAGATTGCCCATGTCGAAGACAGCGCTGTTTAAACGATTATGACCTGAGAACCAGCTACTGGCTCTTGTATATAGATAACGATCTTTATTTCTGCCCCATGTTCGACAGGAGTCCTCAGCTCAACACCTTCTTCTCATTAGTGCAGCATGCTCTTGACAGACATGACTGGCCACTCACATCATGACACGTATCGTTTCGAAAGGTTGTGTCCCCAACGTGCGCTCACGCTAGACGTATAAACACTTCTATGCTTCCGGATTTGCTTCCAAGCTCTCAGCCCTCCCCGAAACCGCGAGCAGGTCTTCCTCCAGAGAGGCGGTCTTCGCCGACGGATGCGGGATCTGTATACCGGGGAAAACAGGCACTCCTTCCGTCTAGAACTGAGCCCTAAGTAACCGTCTCGAGATGACGCATGGAGAATCGATTCTCTGCTTGTGTTTGGAGAATATCCGCGCTGGAAATAGGGCGATGAGGGGTCTCCGCTCGGTTGGTCCATTCGGCTTCGCCCCGGGCAAGCATTTTCCCGAGCTCAATCGGCCCGCCTCCCTCCGCTTCTTTACCAGTTAAGGACATTTGTGCTTGCTTTATCGTCAGGTGTACTTCTCAAGATGGAGCCTGTATCTTCGGATGGTCGATACGGCTCTTCTGCTCTACATGTGCTGAATTTGACAAGCGAGAGAAGATTTCCCAACGATCGATTGTGTCACCCCTAGTGGTCTTTCGTTCCAGAGGCAGGTGCTACGAGATCACGACCTTCCTCATCATTATCCACTTTTGCATCGCATCGCAGTCTACGATATTCTTGATCCACTATTCATCTCGTTCTGCAATTCATCCTCATATCCCCGGAATACACGACAACAACTACACAATGACACATCAACTTGGCATCTCGACGATGTCCTTGGGCCGAGCTTGGCTTCACGATTTAGAACCAAAGCTCGACCAAGCAGCAAAGTACGGCTATTCTGGGGTCGAACTCTTCTACGAAGATCTGGTATACCACTCCAGAAAGCATCATGGAGGCGACACCGAGGAAAACCAATTACGAGCTGCCGAAGACATCCATTCAATGTGCAAAGCTCGCAACATCAGCATCATCAACATCCAACCATTCATGCATTACGATGGACTGGTTGACCGCCAAAAGCATGCCGAACGGATTGAAGAACTCAAGTTTTGGTTCAAACTTGCACATGTGCTGCACACAGATATGATCGCCATTCCTGCGTCTTTCCTTCCTGAATCGGAATGTACTGGTGATATGTCAGTCGTTGTTGCCGACCTACAAGAAGCAGCCGATTTGGGTGCAGCACAAAATCCGCCCCTAAGGTTTGCGTACGAAGCGCTATGCTGGAGCACACATTGCTATACCTGGGAGCAGAGCTGGGAAATCGTGTCTGCAGTTGATCGCCCTAACTTCGGACTTTGTCTCGACACTTTCAACATTGCTGGTCGCATCTACGCTGATCCTGGACAACCATCTGGCAAGCGACCGACTGCGGACACTGATCTCGCTGCCGCTATCGCTTCGAAGCTTGTTCGACCCGACAAGCTGTTCTTTGTTCAAGTCGTCGACGCTGAGAAACTATCTTCACCTCTGGTCAAAGGTCATCCTTTCTACGACCCAGAGCAAAATGCTCGTATGTCATGGTCGCGCAACTGCAGACTGTTCTATGGAGAGCAGGACCGCGGCGGGTATCTACCCGTTCGTGAGATCTTGAAAGCTATCTTGCATGATCTGGGCTATAGCGGATGGCTAAGCTTTGAGTTGTTCAATCGGTCCATGGCCGATCCCAGTCCCGAGACACCAGCTGAGCATGCACGCCGTGGTGCTGAATCTTGGGAGAAGATGGTGGCTGATCTCGAGCTCAATGGTCATGCTGCTGATAGTGCTGTCAGTGTCAGCTCATCGGTGGCCAAAGCATAACACTTTTTTTCCTATCTTGCATCATAATCAATAGACAACCCTGCATACACGTATAGAGTTCAAAAATGACCATTCGTACCTTCAGTCAGTTTATAATGAAGAACTACATAGCGTCCTCTTCTTCACTTGTCTCCTCGACAGACGAAGTGAATTCGCTGGAAACGTCATGAATTTGCAAGGCCGATCCGCGAGTAATAGAAGTTGTCTCCGTCATCTCCTATTGTATACTGTACTCAACTGGACACACCGACCTCAATACCAAATTCAATCACAAACCACATACCTCTTTCACCATGAACGCGCGCTCAGAAGTCCCCCCGGGTCCAGAGACTTAATGAAGTATCCCGGCACCAATCAGAAGAGCACGGTCAGGTCACTGAACTTTCTTTGCATCTCTCCCCTCAGGCTTTATCATTGGCATCGCTTTGAACTACTTCAAGACTGCAAATGACAATGATGTCTCCTGAGACGAGCTCCCGTGCATCACGGACCTCAGCGGTCGAGCTGCTCCTATGTCATGTACCGACAAACAGCTGGGACCGCAGTCTGCTGTACGCGGATGACCATCTTCTCTGATTTCGCTGGTTTCATTCGACTTTCGAGATTTGCATGCAGAGAATGAAAGCATCGGCATCGGCTATACATTGCTACACTGATTCGTTTGCATCGTTTGATTGTGTACTCTTTTGTTTGTCCAGATACGACGAAGCAAATATCTCTGTTCCAAAATTCATAATCCAAGGTTCTTCTCCAAGACTTGAGGCTCTGTCAAACATGCTCAGAAAGAAGGCATACCCTCAAATTGGAGGCAACCCTCAACAGGCTTGAGCCACTCCAATCTTTCTTTGGTGTAAATCTCCAACGAAGGCTTGCACTCCTGCTTGCCCTTCAAATCGTCAAAGACACCTGCTCTCATAGCAACTCTCTCAACCTGTCCACTTTCCGCTACAGCACCGCCAAACAGCGAGCTTCCNNTGTACACATATATCAGCATATACATCTTCCAGTATGGGTTCCAGCCCTTTGTGAAGAATAGGCACATACCACAATCCTTGCAATAATAGTTCTTGACTTTGTTTCCCGAGTCTGCGGTTTTCAGAGTTTCTGCCGGCGACGAGCCAGAGACTTTGAAGTCGGAAGCGCTGACGATAAAATTGTAGCTATATGCCGAGCCTGAGATCTTGCGACAGTCGGTGCAATGGCAGATGGNCCTGTTTTTCTTCTGTTATTATTTTTGCCGGAGGTTTTTGGTTGTTGGGAAGTGGAAACTTACGATAGCTTGGGGCTGAGCACTCAGCTCGATTTTGATGTTTTTGCAAAAACAGCTTCCGGTGTACATGATTGCGATATCTTGTTTGGCGGTGTATGAGTTAATGATGAGTTAATGATGGGTTTTCGAGGGTGGTGGAGGATGGATGAAATACTTTGTCAGGACACCTTGCAGCACTGATTCATGAATCAGGCACGCACTTTTCCGAAGGATGTCGTAGAGCCTTCTAGAAGCTACATTGACAGACGGTCATTTTTCGAGCACAGAAATTTCTGTCACTGAGAGTGCAAAATTTGATGCTTATAAGAGTCTAGTATACACGTTGTCTCAGGCTTTCGATGGTTAGAAAAGGCAAAAAGATGTTGTAGGTGACACCCTGGTCATGTAGAATTGCAATGTTCCATTTCCAAACCACGATTTCCGAGCTGCCACTTCTGGACCAGATGACAGGAAGGCAAAATAGGCAAGTGTCCTCTATCAGGCGAGCAGGGATAGATGATCACTCGAACAGGGAACGTACTAAAACATGAGAAGACTGAATGAACATCCTGGGAAGCGTAACCTTGATATTGAAACTTCAGTCCACTAGAAACGCCAAACAAAGGTTATGACCAATCAACAAAGCTATTGTCAAAGAGATGCGAATGTCAAGTCTGCGTGCCAGAGCGAAAAGATCAAACAGACCCTTGATCATCGAGATCGAGGTAGGTCTCAGTGCTGCAACGAAATTTCAATCTCGCACCTCGCAAAGATTGATACACGAAGCTGCTAAAGGCTGGAGAGTCAGACATATCGAATCAGTGCAACACGATCAAGATAGACCACGTTGTTTCATTGCCGCAAAGCATTTCAGGCATACAGTACTGGTTTTGCTCCTGCATAACGTGTCAAAGTCATGATGCAATAGAGATGCCGTACATGTTTGCTTGAGAAAACTGAGGCACAACACATTCATCCTGAGACGTTCTTTCGTGAACATGTTAAAGTGAGCCAAGCCAAACCCTGGACACCAACACAAAGGAAAGTCCTTGAAAGCGTGCTCCTGATGTCTCAGAACTAGCCGAAGGTGGTAGCGGATGTGTACGTGGTTGAAGAGCTGCAGTGGCCATGCGCGATACCACTTGACGTGGCAGTCATTTATCTTACACGTAGAAACCAAGACATGTCGTGATAATAAATGCCAAGGGGCCTAGTCCTATCAAGCAGGAGGCAACTGAAAGGCTTGAGAAGCCAATAAGATGTCTTGAGAATGAATCAAGGAGCTACGCGAATAGTGATTAATATTCGATGCGGCAAGTAAATAATGTGCCGTCGAGATATCAAAGAATCCATGTTATACTTGCTCGAGCAGGAGGTGTCGTGCCAGACCGAGCGGGTAGCTAGACGGGATCGACCGGGAGGATAACAGCCGAAAGCCACCGAACGTGCTAAGAGAGTATTAGTCTTGTCATTTGACATTTGCACTCCCGTCATTCCAGCGAGTCACGAGAGTACTGGAGATCTTATAGACGGAGTACGTGCCGAGACATGGATCATGTTGCTAGTGCTCCCGCTCGTGCTCCCGCTCGTGCTCGGACGGGACATTAGAGGAGTGTGCATGTACAAACAGTTGTTTGATGGCGAGACCAAGATTTGATATAAAGTCGTGATTCAGGATCGAGCATATACGGACCTTGAGCTTGAACGATCGAGTCCGCCCGTGATCTGCAAATTGGTTTTCGACTGGTCAGAATGGCCGATATACAACTGAATTCAGGGTCCTGTGAGGCTGGAGAGCCACAATCGACAATAGTTTGTAGTTGACAATCTGGCAAGCTCAGGTGCATAGAGCACTGACAGCACAGATAGAATGATACATCATTGTGATAGATTTTGGGGTCGTCGCTTCGATGTGATGTCTCGAGTTCTACCACCATGTCGAAACAGACTTCGCGGTGCCACCTGCATGTGCATTGGTCCTTCGTGATAAGATCACCCGTTCTCGAAAGCATTGTCAGTCGAAACAGTGGAGAGCTCGCTCTCACAGACGTACCTAATACGAGTGGTCATGACGTTGCAAAGATCATAGCGTCAGAACTCACGTTTCTGGCCATGTTAGCACTCAGAAACATAATCAAATCATAATCTAGGCATAATCAAAACATGACAAGGCGTACCAATATACGAAAAGAGTGTCTGAGATGTGTTTTGGTTTCACCAGAACCATAGGAATGTTGTTGGAGGACGCTTGCACGCAATCATAGCTGCAAGCAATCTATCTGATTGTCGTTGCTGATTGTAGTCATCGGCCGAGCACGGTCAAGATCTCGTGAAGCAGATTGTAGTTCAAGCCGATCACGGAAAGTCTGTTCGTGCCACCTTGCACTCACAGACCAGCCATATGCGTGCAGGGTTTCTCCAGAATCGCGGATTCTGTGGAAGTGTTTCAAGATCTTTGGATTTTTTCTGTCGGGACGTGGCTTCCATATGGCGCGGGCATGCATACGGACGAGAGCATATTCGGGCTATGCTGGGTTGTCGCGTTCGGTTGCCTGGCTAAATTGTGATGTTGATAAGCAAAGATTGAGAGACTGTGCATCAACCTTTGGGTCAACGTATACCGTACATGAGATGATTGCATGGCTGATGAGGCGCATAGCCAAAGAAGTTCGCGTCGTGATGCGCATGTAAGGAACAGCCGGCGATGGCACTTTTCTCCGCAAGAAGTTGAGTTGGATTAATTCGGAAACTAGAACATTTAATGGCGGCTATTAAAATGGCATGAAAGCTATAATAGTTAGCGGTGCTTTCCGAAAGCATCGCAGCTTCCGCTTTAGCACATGACTCTGCTTGCATGTTGGCTGTGCGCAAAAGCTCATTTGGACAAGGCTGAATCGATCTAACCATTCATCGCTCTGAGCACCAACGCTCAAGATGTTCATGACGTTCTTTCGTGCGATCACGACTGGTTGTGTGCAAGCAGTCTGGATATACCCGCAGCGACATGAGCCAGATGGTCGCTGCAGGGTTGCGGTCGACGAGGCTGGAAGGCTTGCAGCCGAACGCCTCTCCAGTCCATCGGTTTCTTGGATATACCCAAACACATCTCAACCGCAGCATTGGTGACATCGCTAATCAACCCTCGGATCGAACATGTGTTACGATGCTGATTTTGACCAATGTGTTGGATGGTACCTGGGACCTGCTTCTGCAGGCGTAAATTCGAGCAGAAAGAACAGCAAATGCAACGTCCAAGATGTGTAACGGTTGACAGGTCAATTTCTTAGCGAGCGTGCCACGCTGGTAGTGATAACAGAGGATGATCTTCGGGACATGTAAGCTCTGATATAGTCGAGACGGACATGCATGGATGAACCACCGTGTGGTGCTGAGATGCTGAGGTACTCGTACGTAAGTGGTGCAAGCACTCGAGTCCTCGCTCCATTTGCCCCAAAATCATCAAACACTGCCGGTACGTGGCCTGCACGCTGCTTGCACGCTATGATCTAGAAGCAGAGCCACAAGCTTGGGATCGTGGTATGACGGTGATACCGAAACCCATCTGGTAAAGCCACCATTTGTGGACAAGGATTCCCGATCCTGATCAAAGGCCGAAAGCGATCAAGAGGATCAACGGGAGACCAGCATGCCCAAAGGCTTGGACGAGTTGCGTAGTGCCGGACAGGCCCGTGGAAGCTCGATGCCGTATATTAAAGCTTTGCGTAGCTGGCGTCAAGTAGCGGCCTCTCCCCCCTGAGCTGGAACGCTTTGACAGACTTGACGTATTTTCTGCATGGAAGGTGTGTTTCCAAAATGGTACGCACGCCGGGCACTGCAAAATGAGAGGGTGTGGCATGCTTCACGGCAGCATGCAGACGTGTGAAAGATTCTACCGGTCGTGGTTCCCCGGGAAAAGTTGCTTTTATCGGTCGCACATGCAAAAACTGCAAGTCATTGATTGCATCGTACAGCGTAGCGGCATCACAAGCTGGGATAAGATGCATGCTCAGGTGGCTCTCCTTCAGATTGACAAGATTTGTCACACCTCTGCGACCCACGGCATGGCTTACGAGCGTGGATCTGCAGCGCTTATCCACAAGATCGGGTCCCTCGAGATTGCGCGCGGCGACTCAAGAAATAACACCGCGTGTTGTCTATTCTGCTTGACTTGGCACCATCCTAGCGCCGGCTGCTATAGGTAGAGGCTGACTTCTCCTTCCAAAAGGTATGCTGGTGTTGCAAAAATAGTATGGCGAGAACTGCCACTTCATCTGGAAAGAGAGAGGTGCGATGGTTGTGTCAGGGCATGATTCCTTCTTGGTTTTGGCAAATTCATGCAAACGCCGTCAGCGCGTCAACGTCTATTTTCTTCGCGTGGCCCATATCTAGGAAGAAGCGCGTCGTTGCACAGGCCGGCGTCTGTTCCTCGATTACCCGGCGCTGAGAGATGCGAGTTTTGTCATGTGGTTGGTGGAGTGCAAACGCCTGGCGTCAACGGCCTTGAGTGAACCGCCGCGCTCAGGCCAGACCTCTCTCCAAACAAAGACATCTGCATCGATTAGCAGCCCGCCACGGCGCAATCCCGACACCATGTTCATGGATGTTTGGAGAAAGGTGGATTTCGGCATTGATATGCGACGCACCGAATCTGCACCATCTCGAACGATTTCCCTGCTCGATTGATTTGCAGATTCGTACTGCAACGTCCATGCTTCACCCTATGCCCACTCCTCCCAAACCACATCCTTACAAGGCCCAATCCTCAATTCCCAGTCCAACGGCTCAGGATGATCCGGTCCAGTCCGCGCTGCACCGGAGCTTCTTGGTTGCAGCAGATGCCGCTGCAACAGGCAAATTCAGTGTCTCTGTCGTCCGTATGAATCTCTAGTCGTTCATGTGGCACCCTTTCAGGCACTTTTGATTTGACGCCCGATCATCTGGCTAACGCTAAATGATCAATTAACCTTGTTCATGAAAGAGATGTATGATGAACTCGACATCGACTTCAATCGACCCGCCCGAAGGGAACCAAAGCTCGAGGACCTGTTGGCCGGGAACAAGATATAAAGTCGTCAGGTCTTCTCCAGAGAATGACTATTGGATCAGATCAGTTCAGCATCAAGCTTCTACCACATTTTCTTACCTTGCAAACCCATCCCTCATCATTAAATCTCACCGAAAGTTTATTCAGTCTCAGCTGAACTTCGGACAACAACCCCGCTCTGTTTCTTATTCCATTGTCTGCCATCTCTAACACAATAAACATTTGCAATCTTTGGTACGTTTCTGTCAAGAGATGACTCGAGACGTTTTCAACGTCTGGCTCCTTTTCTGTCACCGGCTCGGCCCTTACCTTGCTTGACATGTTCCATACCCCATCAAGAAGAAAAAGCCGTCGTTAGAGGGATTCCAATTTCTCACGTCAAGCCTCAAAAGCCATTGCCCTACCATCACAACGTATATGTTGTGACCATCTACCCTTCATCATCAGAACTTCTTTCGTTTCCCAACACCGTCTTCGAAGCCACCACATCACTTTCGAAACCATGGCTCGCCCACAAAGCACTGCTTCTAGACAATCGCGTCAGCATACTGATCAAGCATCCCCTCAGGCTAGAAATACCACAGTCACCAGAACACACAGCACACGGATCCGGAGGCCATCTGTTAGACGCCAGCATCAGCATAATCGACATAATCTATCGGAAGAAGATCGTTTTCTGGAACTAAGACGATCCGCTCGTATAGCCAGACAACAACAAGACCAACTACGGGAAGCTCAGGCTCAAGACCAATTACGAGCTCAACCTCAAGAACAACATCAACAAGCTACAATGGCAGACGTTGCACGCCGCACTTACGCTCGCAATGACCACGGTCCTCGCAGTGTCGAGTAAGTTTTCACAAATCTCTTTTGCTCCACTTTCCCATCTCTCCTGCTCCACTCTCTTGCATCCGATCAGGGATGCTTGTCACGTCTTGAGCCGTGCTTCCTGCAAGATCAAGCATGGATCTGGTTTCAGACATGGCATGGTGTCTTGCCTGTTCCGATGCATGCTCCTTTACATGCACTGCATGGCTGATCCTGCTCACATCCACTTTTTCCATGACTATCAACCACACTTGTCATGCCCCTACTTAGAGACCACACCCATCTCAGATCTATCACCATGTCATCAAGACTAACAATCATCTCCAGACATCGCCGAAGTTCCACTCGCACCGACACGACATCCACTCACTCCCGCCAACAACCCTCCACCTCATCCCCATACACTTTAACCATCACCTCCGCACCTCCCGCCTCTATATCCCCATCCACTCCCTTCTCCACCCGCATCCTAATAACCACCCCCGGCGCCGCACACCCCAAAACCTCCCTCGCCGTAATCTCTCTAACCTCTACAACCGGCACACCCCTCCCCGCCGGCCACCTCCTCACCTCTTCTCCCACCGCAAAACTCATGGATTCAGTGGGTGAACCCCTACGCTCCGATCTCAGTGCTTTGGGAAGGGGAAACAGAGCAGAAGTGGTGGGAGCAGCAGGCTTTGAAGGCTTGTGTGTTAGAGAACAGGGAGAGTATCGTGTGAGGGTTACGATTGCGAGGATGGAGGGGGATGGCTGGGAGGCTGTTGCTGAGGTTGACAGTGCGGTGTTTAGGGTGCTTGGGAGAGGTGTTAATGGGGTTAAGTGTTGATTTCTGTTTTGTGTTTCTCCCTTTTCGGGGTTTGGGGTCTGGCGTTGGCGTTGGTGGTGATTGGGGCCGGGGTGGAGGTTGTCTTCTTATTGATCATTGGTTGGGGATTGATGGCAAGAAGAGATGGTTTGTATGATCATGAAGGGTGTATGGTTTGATGTTTGGATGAAAGAGATGGCAGCAACGAAGAATGATGGCCATGCTCATGTTGGAGTTGTCTATGGTTTGGCGGTCAGGGCTAGGGGAGTGGAGTCACAGGCAAGTGGGTTCGGGCATACATGTAGTCCTTTGGAGTTTGTTTGGTCGGGAAGTGCATCATGGGAAAGCATCATTATGTTAGTATGATATAACGAAAAGCAATACAAGACAGTTCGGTCAGAAGCCCTTGGACTGCAGTTCGAAACTGGATCTATCACCTGCAGTGACGGTTCACGAGTGTTTTCTGCACAGGCACACAAGTATGATTGATGAAGAAAAAGTTCAATTGTCGCGAAAAAAGAAAGGGAGGGTCTCCAAGAAATGCTCGCATGATTAAAAGAAAGAACGCCAACCCTATTTAATGTGCATTCGAGAAAAGGGAAAAGAAAAAACGCCGGTGCAATGAGTAGTGAAGGGTCAAAAATCAGGCTGAAGAAAACAGAAGAAAATGCTTGCAATAACTGGACTCCCTCTTGCGCTTGATGGATGTCTTTGCTCTCTATCCTCCTCTTTTCCTGTTGTCGCGAATACGTGGGTATCTGAGTATGGTGTGGTAGTGGTGCTGCTGCTGCGTGCTCTCGGGATTCGTTTGTGCCATGTACCTCTGTAAGGTTCTTCTCTCTGGCTACATGTCCGCATCTCGATAAAGTGTGGTGTGACGGATGCTATGGGTACACATGGTGTCTGACCTGTACTCCTGAGCTATTTTCGCCAGTGTTTCTCAATATAGACAGAACGGGCAGGTGCATCTAGAACTTGTTGTTGGTGTCGTAGTAGCCAGAGACAATGTCATCATAGTTTGAGTAGTCGTAGTTGGGAGTACGTTTGGGTGTAGAGCGAGAAGCTGAGTCAGGTCTAGAGGTAGGGGCAGGCTCACGGCGAGCAGAGCGAGGTTGCGAGGTCAAACCAGCTGGAGGGGCAGGGCGGATGGGTAGGTTCATGGATTGCTGAGCAGCCATGGGTACCTGGCCGGCACTTGAGGTACGCATAGGATAGCTCGGGCGTTGTGAATGACGCGGCATGGACTGTGTGCTGATGGGAATGTCGCCAGATGACGAAGATGGCGGGCTGGGTTGGTTCTCGGGCTCTCTGCCGCCAGAACGCAGCAGTTGCTTTGTTTGAGGAGATAGTTGTGGCACAAGGTGAGACTTGCGATTGTGGCGCTCCATCATGCTGACAGCCCACGCCTCGAGGTCGACTGGTGTACGCTTGGCGGCTTGCAAGAAGGGATCGGTTTCGAAAAGTTCAGCGGGAGTAGGTCGGTCGTCAGGGTTCTTCATAAGACACTTGTCGATGACATCGTGCAGGATCTTGGGGAAAGCGTCGCTCTTGGGAAGCTTAGGCGAAGGCTCCAGCACGATCTGCTGGAGAAGGTCGAGAATACCCTGAGGGCCGGCCAGTTCGTCGTCGTCGCCATTCTCGCTGTGGAAAGGGAACTTGCCGATAGCAAGCTCCATCAAGGACAGCCCAACACTCCACACATCCGACTTGACCGTGTAAGGCGATCCCTGGATTCTCTCGGGCGCCATGTACGTGCCCGTTCCGACAAACGTATCGGCCACAGAATTGTCAAGCTCACTGCTAACGCCAAAGTCGCACAACTTAATCTGACCCTTGCTGTTGACCAGGATGTTGGAAGGCTTGATGTCGCGATGCATGATGCGGTGCATACGGTACAGGTATGCGAGTCCTCCCAAGACGGACTCTGCAATTTTCCNCAGAACGTCGACTCGCACGGGACCAAAGTTCTTAGAGATGCTGTCCAGTGAGCTGCACATGCTGTTAGTTTTGTCTTCCACGCCGTCACGGTCCTCTACCACTCACCCGACATCCATGTACTCCATACACATGACAACATCGCCCATGTCGTTCAGAAAGGCGCCGTAGAAGGAGACGATGGAGAGTGAGTTACACTCGTGCATGATCTGCAGCTCTCGTACAATGCGCTTTCTGATTTCCTTCTTGGCCTCGACGTGGATGATCTTGCGCGCCATGACGACCTTTGTAGCCGTGTGCATGACCTTGCTGACTGTGCCACCGTTACCTGCTCCCAGCTCTTTGATGACTTGAAGATCCTCGCTCTTGAGATCTAACCTGAACTCGACGCCGATTTCCAGAGTGTCTGCGCGGCCTGTTTCTGGGCCGTCGGTAGCTTCTCCGTTGGGTGTGACAGGTTGGGCAGGACGAGGAGCGGGAGCGCTAAGGGCCAGGCCCTTGACGTTCTTTCGCTTCATCGTCTTCGTCTTGAAGGCGTCCGACATGGCGGGCGGTCGTGTGTGAGTTTGTGTTCAAGCTGGCTGCGAAGCTGTCTTGTTGGTTTGTCGGCAAGCTTTGGTCGACTCCGTAGGTCGGAAAAGTGATTGGCTGTGGTTGTAGACGGAATTAATTAAGATCGGGCGGTAGTCTAGTTGGGCGGCAGTTCGCAAGGTACAATCAAGTGGTGAGTGTTGGTCGTTTGGCGCATGCACGTCGTCAACAAGGGGACTGGTGTCTTTCGGGTGGGGCCAGAGTTCGGCTTTGTTGGATGGAGATTGGAAGAGTGGGAGATTGCGAGAAAAGAGGACGGACGGGTGACAATTAAGAGTGACGGATAAATGGCATGTTATATAGAAAGCATCCAGGAGAAGGGACTAGCAGAGAGACAATCGGTGCAGGGTGAACTTGAGACAGGCCGACGTGGTGGTTGAAACCGCTGCTTCGACCTTCTACAGACCTTCTATTCCTTGTTGCACCCGACTTCCGCCCTTGGCAAATCAAAGTCTCCCGCCAAGCCATGTCTTCACGGCCAAATTGTGCTTCTTTGTTCTGTCGGTGTGTGTCTAGCCTTGTTACTCCTGATTCATGGATATATACTTGTTGAGTTGATAGTCATCTCATGCAAGAAACTGTTTTGTGCAAATCCCAGCGACCGTCTTTCTCGACTGCCTCTCACATCCAAGTGGTTTATTGCAAGCTCGGGCAGTTGCGACCACCGAAGTTCAGCCAGGGGCAGGTGCCAAGGCCGTGACGGCAGTCGCAGTTTCCAGACCTGGCAGACACGCCAGCAACTTGTACTTGTAGAGGTGAAGGAGCATCTCGTCTGTTCATCAACATCACTTGACTTTTCTTCCCGTCGACATATAAAAGCGCTTGCTGGCCCAACTCTATTCTTTCCCTCCTGCCTCAGCCAGCACTGCTGCTGCCACGAATTGACGACCAACAACACTCACGCGCCTGTATCTCCGACCAGACAGCTTGCATCAAAACACCGCACACGTACCCACCATGACGACAGCCAACTTGTTCGACCTCGACGCCCAGCTCGGCAGCGAAGAAGATGAAGAGTTTGAGGGCGACGAGGAAGAACCGCGCCCAAGAAAGCAAAAGGCAAACGTTGATGATTCCAGCGAGGAAGAAGAAGACGACGACGAGGAAGCCGAAAGAGAGGTGCGCATACACACACGACTTGTCAGAGCCTCTCTCCTAACATTCCAGCCAGATCCGTGAAGGTTTCATTGTCGACGAGGATGAAGAAGACGATGAAGAGCGCCGTGAGCGCCGTGAGCGCCATCGCGAGAGAAAGAAGCGTCGAAGAGAGGAACGTGAGGCCGAGGATGCTTTGCTCGATGAAGAAGATCTGGACTTGATTGGCGAAACACATCCTGACTACCAACGCCGTCAAGAAGAGCAGGTAACTAGCAACCGCACTCCACACCACCACCCCTTCTACTAACACGCCCAGAAGAGCAAGTTCAAGCGCTTGAAGCGTGGTCATCGCGAGGACCGAGATCGCAACGAAGCGCGCGGCATCGACGACATCTTTAGTGACGATGAGGAGATGGCCGACGCTGATGGTAGAGCCTACGGCCGCGAACCTAGAGCCTATGCCGACGAATTCGCCGACTTTATCGAAGAGGACGAATTTCCCGACGAGGAGCGCGAGGCAATGCGCGATGCTGCCGAAGTGCGACGACCCGGCAGAGGCTATGTCGACCCTCTCCGCATGCAGAGTGGCCTGGATGAGTCAGCCCAGGAAGATATGATGGCTGCTTTCGGTGACGGTACCGAGTACGACTGGGCTCTACAATTGCAAGAGGAGGGCGATGAGAACCAAGAAGGTCTGGACAAGCCGTTGGAGCTCAAGGATGTCTTCGAGCCTTCGCAACTGGCCGACAGAATGTTGACAGAGGCTGATAACATCATCCGCAACAACGATGTCCCCGAACGCTACCAGATCGCCCGTCAGCCCTTCAGGGAGATGGAATTGTCACCCGAGGAAATGAATGCTCGCATGCAAGAAGAGACACACTGGATCTCCAACTTCCTGCTCCCCAAGAAGCGTTTGGACCGCGATCTGGTTGAGCCTTTCCGTGAGGTCGTTGGTCATGTCTTGCGATTCATGAATGTCGAGGATCTCGAGATCCCCTTCATTCTTCACAACCGTAAGGACTACCTCATCCACGAAGAGCGCGTTCCTCTGTCCCCTAACCCCAACGACCCGGATGCTCCTGAACACGAGATCAAGGCTTCGAGATTGTTGCAAAACAGCGATTTGTGGGAGATCTACGAACTGGACCTCAAGTACCGTGCCTTTGTGGAGAAGCGCGAAGCTCTGTCAAGATCGATCGAGAGTATCCGCGAAGCCATGACTGACTCGAACGACGAAATCTTCAACGACATGATTCCTGCTGCCGTTACCATGGAGGAGCTACAAGATGTTCAGGATTATCTCCACTTCCAATACGCCGCCCAACTCAAGGATACGACCGTGTACGACGCAGAAACCAATGGCACACAGAAGCGAGCAAGAGGAACACGCAACA